GCGTAATGACGGATATTACCTGCATCCGCGACGTCCTGAATGGCCACTGGGGACATCATAAATCCACCGTGCGAGGCCTAATCGAGCGAATATCCAAACTATAATATAGCATCTCGGCGCTCGTTAACCTTCGCTGCACCTAAAGTTCATGTCCCCGCCTGGATCGCGCTACTACGGCAAGCGCGTCAAACGGGGACAAGCTGGACTTTATTACGTGTCACCGGCATGCTGCCATAGTAAAGGATATTGCAGGAGCTTGCTATGGCATTGTGTGTAGAGGATAAACAAGTCCAATAACGTGCCCCTTAAGGCGAGCCGGACTACATTATTGTATGGAAAACCAACATTTATGAGATAACAGTTTTAATATTTCTCATGTGAATTTTCATGACGATCGGAGAACCATTACGTTAATTCAAAATACGCGCGTAGATTATAGTGAATTTTCGAAATACAGAAAGATATATTTTCAAAAGAGTAACGTGCATATTCTGAGATTTATTCTATAGTGATTAATAGAATGTCTACTGTTTGAAAAAAAACCTAGAAATCTCTTTATTTATGCCTTCACAAATCAGGGAGTTCAGGAAATTTTTATTGAAAATGAAAGTACTTTTAAACGTTTTGTAAATAAATATATATATATATTTACAAATATATATTATATCTGGAATTTTTAACAAACGAAAATCAAGAAATTTTTTTTCAGAGATAGACCTGTATAAAATCTTCGTGTAATAATACAACTGCGACTTGTATCTCCGTTTAGTATATGCGATGTTTCATATAAACTTGATGATGGATCGTTTGTCTCGTCTTTGCGAAAAAATTTGACAAAACAATGTCTTGGGAAGATATCTGTCAAGACTTCTCGTATCCCTTTTAAAGAAATCCGAGCATTCTTGATTCCACGGCGAGACAGCTCAAAGGGACAGGGATTAACCGAGAGTTTCAGCACAATGTTCCGTAAACATTCAACATTGTTCTCACGAAATAGCGAGCGCGAAGTTATGCCGGAGACGCGTCCGCGGATGAACTGTGTGTGTCGTCGACGTCCCAGAAATTTCTCGGGCGCGCATTCAACGAGCGATCTCATCTCGTCACGTCTCCCTGCCGGTGGCCGTGGCCGACGTTTACATACCCTCAGCTCAGCTTTCTTCTCGCGAGCTCACTCGAAAAGTGAGCTCGCCTCTCCCGAGCCTGCCACTATCGCGTCAACGGATTTTATTGCTCCTTCGTGATGATAGTCGAATATATCCGCCGTATCCCTCCTTCTCCCGGCGCCTCATATTTCATCGCCTATCAACCCTCCAGTCGGACCCGATTTCTCGGCACGAAATCACGAAATCCCACCGCGCGCTTTCTACCGGCGCGAAATAAAACGCGTCCCGCTCTCGCGGGGACACCAAGTCCACACGAAATCCAGTTGTCACGCGCCGTTCGATCCGCATTTGATCCATGGCCCGGCTGCATCGAATCGTCCCGGCTTCTCGTGCCAATCCCGAGGTTCCATTCAATCGCATCCCCTGCGACACCCGCCAAGGATTTCGAACTACGGAGTGAAAATTGCGAATGTACCGTCAAGCAACAATTTTTATTTTCAGACGATTATAAGTTAGCTGAAATGATTATCCATATATATATATATATATAATCAAATTAGCAAATTATTATATTAGTAACATTAAATTAAAATTAAATGT